GAAACTCTTGTTTTCGTTTTGTTGCTCTGTGTTATGAAATACGTGTCTGTGGGACTGTGGGGAAAGTTTGAACCCATCGATCTGACAAGTACATGCCCCAGATTCCTGGAACTTGGGGACTGTCACTGTCATGTTACATTCACAGAAGTGCCTTGTCCCATGAAGTACTTTGGGGCCGAAGGAGTTCACTGTGTTTGGGAATGTCGGAGGGTCCTAACCTCCCACAAATTCTAGCAGCTGCCTAGTAATGGTTAGGGTCACTGGGTACGATTTTGATGTCTTTTTAGGAGTCAGCTAATACCTAAATGATTAGAATAAGGTAGCTTCTTAAAGTGGTTAATATTTTGAATTCCATACTACTAAGGCTTATGTTGTGTTTTTTCTCTTTCATAATATACTTTTAGAAGATTTATGGTATTCTTTATCATCATTTTATATACATTCATTGGGCATAGTGGTTTTGATTTTTGTTGTTTTTTGTCCAGAGGAACACATTTCCAATTTTATAACAAAGTGTGAAAGAAGGAATGCTTTATTTGGGGAAGTTTTTACCAAACTGTTAAGCAAGAACTGGAGCTAACCCACACACACTCACAGATACATATACAGGTGCAATTTATTATTTGGTGACGATTATTTTGTGTCTCTTCCAGATAAAGAATTGGAGGCACAGGTTGGTGAAATAATTTGCCAGGAGTTACACAAGAACATAAATTGTGAAAAGAAAGCTCTTGGGACAGCACTGGGTAGTAATGTGTTTAACTATCTTTTGCCTGTGAACACTAAAAATGAAGAATTGGAAGAGTACTGAGTAATGAGTCAGAAGGCTCGGCTTCTAGTCTCCACTCTGCACCAGCCTGTCTGCATAAGCACAGGCTTGCCGTTTCACTCTGGGGCCTCTGTCCATAAAGTGAGAATGTAGGCTTGATCTCCGAAGGTCCCTTTAGCATTTAGATGTTGCTTCCCAAAGGGCTGGAGTCTTGCATCAGGACCCATCCTGGGGTTTGTGCTGTTTGCAAGGCCCCAGGGAGCTGCCTCATTCTTTTTTTCCAAGGAGATAAATGTACATTACCCCACAGAGCCCTATAACGCAATGGCCTGTTAGTGCTGCGAAGAGCTTCTTCACTGGGGACCAAGCCCGGGCTGTTTGTGGTAACCAAGAAGAATCTTGGAATGAGTCCAGGAAATGTAATTTCTGTGACCAAGTAGTTGCCGACTCAAAAAGCTTGCTACAATCCACCCAAGAACAGCGTCTTCTGTCTTCGGAGAGTGAGAATATAGAACTCTATCTCCTGTGAAAGACTTTGAATTCAAGGACTTCCATTATCTTCTTACAGCAATTACCAAGAAAATGTATTCTTGCTGAATGTAACTTGATAGATGTTAGCAAGGAATGCCTTCATATCTTAAAAAGCTTTAAAAAATTAGTTTGTATTTGCTAATTCCTCACCTTCTCCATAATGCTAGTTGTATTGCTTTATTGTTCAGTGCTGTGAAGAGTTGATAGTACCTGCAGTCACCTTGACGTTTTCCGGGTAGATTAGGAACTGGATCACCAGAGGAAAAGCCGGTCAGAGTGACTGCTCTTCTGTCGCCCCATTCACACACACAGTGTAGCCATGGCTTTGACTGCACTTCTGACACTACAGGGTTCTTTATAATGGTGGAAGTCGTGACCTGTGTTTGATGACGGAGGCCTCCTCTGGTCCTTCAGCAGGTCTTCACTGCCACTGCTGTGCAGGATTGAGGCTGATGATAGCAACAGTGGGCTCTGGGGAATGGCCACCAAGAGCTCGGAATAGATGAGCTGTGTTTTCACGGGGGGCCCTCCTGGGAATCCCGAACTCGCTAATGTTAACTGCCTTACGCCCCAGCCTAATTGCCGAGGTATGAGTGCTCTCAACAGACGTGCGTTGGGTGCCTGTTCTCCTCCTAAGCTCTTCACGCGCCTATTAGAACGTCGCACGTGGGTATCCAACAGGAGCGTAACTCGGGAGATAATTCCTGTCAGCTTTTCCTAAGTCTCTTCTGTCTTCTGCTTCTCTTCCTATTCTGGTCTACCATGGCCAATTGGGACAACCCTGACTCAGTCTCTCAAACTTGAACTTGAGAATTTGGAATTACTTGTACTCTTCCCACTCCATACTTTTTATACCTAATAAGTTATCAAACCCTGTTGTTCCACCGCCAAGAATGTTTTTCTGATGCTTTCTGTCCCCAGTGTTGTTTAAGGTCAAACCCAGTTTGTTTTCCCCTGGACTGTTTCAGTCACCCTCTTAACTGAACTTGTTTCTAATCTGCGTGCCCCTCCTATTATCACCCACCAAGTTACCTTTCTTTCTTTATTTTTAAATTATCCTTTGATTAACCTTTTATTTTGTTGTCATCGTTTTACAATTTGCTTTTTTTTACACAACATTATGTTCTGTAAGTTTTCCGTGTAGTTCATTCAGATTTATCTCTCTTTTTAAAAATATTTATTTATTTATTTATTTATCTTTAGAGGGGAAGGAGAGAGGTAGAGAAACATCAATGTATGGTTGCCTCTAGTGTGTCCCCTGCTAGGAACTGTCCTGCAGGGAACTGGCTTGCAACCCAGGCATGTGCCCTGACTGGGAATTGAACCGAGAACCTCTGGTTCACAGGCCTGTGCTCAATCCACTGAGCTACACCAGCCAGGGCTCAGATTTATCTCTTTTTAATGCTACGTTAAAATGCATGTATTAGTTTATTTAACCATTCTTCTGTGAATGGACATTTTTATTATTTATATTTTTTCTTTCATTGCAGAGAATATTGAAGTAAGTGTCCATACACATGTGCAAGATGCCAAAAAGTGGACTTTCTGGGTCATAATGAATATACATTTAAAATGTTAACAGACACCAGCAAATCAATTTACAAAGAGTGCCTTTCGATTTATGCTCCCATTTTCCATGCCTTTTTTTTTTTCAAGATCCTTTGTAATCTGGGTTTAGTGTACTTCTCCTAGCCTCCGCGCTCAGATCAATGTGTTTACTCATTTACTGTCAGCCACTGTGTTGGGTTTGTTTTTTTCTGTTTTGTTTTGTTTTTAAGATTTTATTTATTTTTAGAGAGAGGGGAAGGGAGGAAGAAAGAGAGGGACAGAAACCTCAATGTGTGGTTGCCTCTCACATGGCCCCCAACTAGGGACCTGGCCCGCAACCCAGACCTGTGCCCTGACTGGGAATCAAACCGGTGACGTTTCGGTGCACTGGCTGGCGCTCAGACTACTGAGCCACAGCAGCAAGGGCAACGTCCTGGTTTTTATTCAGTACAAACTGTGTGCCAGGCATTCTCCTGTATGTTGGGGATTTAGTACCGGGTAGGACAGATGGGGTCCCCACCCTCATCTAGCCCACCCTCCCGCCACACACACTTTTTGTCGTTCCCAGGTTCTTTTTATGCATTTACAGCCACTTTTCTCTCTTCTTCATATGGCTTTTCCCCCTTTAACTTACCTGTCTAGAGACATTTTCTTGATCATTCTTCTACCTTTTTAACCAGCTTAGTTTTATCCTGTCTTCTCTTTACCTCTTAGACAGAATGGGATAGGCCTTCCTCAGCAATCTCTCAGCACCTCACTTACATCCTTTCTGTAGTGTTTATGCTGAAGAGGTTTTAAAAAAATTCTATTTATTTACTTCTTAGAGGGGAAGGGAGGAAGAGAAACATGAATGTGTGAGAGAAACATGATTGATTACCTCTGGCACACCCCCACCTGGGGACCTGGCTCACAACCCAGGCGTGTGCCCTGACTGGGAATCGAAATGGCAACCTTTTGGTTCGCAGGCCGGCACTCAATCCACTGAGCCACACCAGCCAGGGCTATGCTGAAGAGTTTTAATTACTTGTTTATACACGTAATTAAATGTGTATGCCTGTGTGTGCATGCATGTGTATATGTACACGCGTGTACACACATAGACCTTTCCCATTGCAGTCTGAGCCCAGTAAGGGCTGGCACCTGTGACTTACTGTAATACTCCCCCAGCTTAATGCCTTAAACACTGAAGATGCTTAATAAATGTTGAGCAAGTGAATGCATAATAAGCTATCAGATGAACTTAACTTCGTGCAGGGCACTGTGGGGGCTTATAAATATGACTGAGGACTGTCCGCGAGGACTAACCATGCATTCGGGGAGATAAGAACCAGATGGGTAGGCTGCAAGGTGATAGTGGTAAGCTCATCAACTTTGAGATGAGGGGGCGTTTTTCTCGTTTGTGCCAGGCATTGTGAGAGACACACAGAATGGCGAGGCACACCTTTTCGGTCAAATAGGGCCGTACAGCAGGGATTGGCAGTCTCCCGTTTGTGGGCCAGATCACACCCGCTGCCCACTTTTGTTCAGCCCATGAGCTAAGAGTGATATTTTGCATTAAAAATTGTTTTTATAAAAAGAATATTGGGTGGTATGTGAAGTTATGTGAAATTCAGATTTTAGTAAATTTTCGTGATTTTTGTTGGAACACAGCCCCGTCATTTAGTTTCCCCACCATCTACGACTGCATCTGTGCTGCAGCAGCAGAGCAAGCAGTGATAGCGGGCACCATCAGGCCTGCCAGCCTGAAGTAGGTGGCCTGTCAGAGAAACAGTCTGCCCACCTTGGATTAGAGCGCGGGAGAGATTCACATGCCCCTGAGGAGAAGGAAAGGTGTTCGTATGGAGGGGGTTACTTTGAGTTAAGGGAGCAGGACTGAAGCCTTACAGCTGAGATGATGATCCAGCTTAACCTTTTATGTTACAGAGTAGTCAGAAGATCAGAAACCTTGTCAAAATCTTCAGGATTTGTAGGGGCAGTGTCCACTGGCGTGCCTGGAGCAGAAGCTCTGAGGATCTTCAAGGGTGATAAGATTATGGTCGGGGTACGGCCTGGTCACAACTGGCCTTGCCCTTGAAAAATGAGAATGAAGAACAAACTAAGAACAGACTTCCTTTCTCTCTCTGAATGTAATGTTTCTTTCTCTTGTTTCTAGAAGGCCTTTGAGCCCTACTTGGAGATTTTGGAAGCGTATTCCACAAAGGCTAAGAACTACGTAAACGGGCATTGCACCAAATATGAGCCCTGGCAGCTAATTGCATGCAGCGTCCTGTGTACCCTGCTGGTAGTCTGGGTGTATGACTTTGTCTTCCAACCAGAGAGTAAGTATACTGTCCTGTCTATAACAATGTAGTGGAGGTTCGCCAGCTCTGGAGCGCTCGTTGGCAGATTAGACTAATTTTTTGCCTTTTGTCTTGGTTCTGATTTTTAAAATTTGTTTAAATGGGAAGTGGGGCATTGTCTTCCGACTGGTGAAGTTATAATAGGACTCTTGTGTAACGAGTACTGTTTATGTTGAGTTTTTTGGACTTGGTGGCTTACGTAAAAGCTTGCAGGAAATGAGTCATTATAAGGATCCACACGTGTCTCAGAGTGGGCATAACCTTCAGCTGCAGCTTCTTGTCTGGAATGTAAGTGTGCCACCCGGGGCTTCCACAGCAGGAAGCTTTCACTGTGGGTCGTCCTTTCAACAGCAGGTGGAGTTGGAACAGCGCTCACCAGGTGGTCCTTTCCGTGCCTGCCACGTGCCAGGCTCTGGGAGTAGCTACACAAGTAATAGGAGGTTCCTGTCTTCTTGCAGTTGAACTTCAGGTGTCAGGGGACGGTGCACTTCGAGCTTCCTGGGGAGTGCCTCGGGGAGCTGACTGACATGGGGAAGAGGAAGCCACTTCTGAGTAGAGAAGACAAGAAGTCTGTCAGCAGTCAGTTTGTAAATCATCCTTCCCAAGGTCCTGCCCAGCCTCCCACCCCGCCCCACCCCTCAAAAACCCCCAAACGCCTGGTTGCATGTCTCCTTATGAATTCCTTTCCCTCTGCAGGCTGTGTTTGGTAAGTGAGTGGGGGGCAGTCGGGGTTCTGTAGCACTCACTGCCTACACTTCTTTTTCACTCTTAGTCAGGCATCCTGATTAACTTCCTTGGGATAAGAAGCCAGTAACATTGAAGAGATTTCTTTGTCATGTCTCATTTGTCTAAAATTTCCACAACTATTTTTTTCCTGATAACATCTGTTTGAAGGGGCTCTCTGTGTTTTTTCTGCTCTTCTTTCTCTTCCCCCAGGAAAGTCAAATGAGAAACTAAATTCTGTTCATCTATCATGCAGATGGCCACTAGCCTTTCTAGTAACCCTATGTGGTAAAATTAGTTTGCTCTAGCTTTAAAACCCAGGCCTCAGTTTCAGCTCCCAGTCCTTGCAAGATTTTCCTTTTTTTTGAGAGAGAGAGAGACATGAATTTGTTGTTCCACCCATCTGTACATTCATTGGTGGATTCTTGTGTGTGCCCTGACTGGAGAGTGAACCCACAACCTTGGCATATGGGGACAACGGTTTAAATAACCAAGCTACTGGCCAGGGCTCCTTGCCAGATTTTTTCATAAACTCTTGACAGATTAGGCTGACTAGCCTTCCTGCCGCCTCCCCTCAGTGGTTTGCAAATGGACAGTCCCTTGTCTTTCTGCTCAGGCCTGTCCCTTTCCCGGGGAGCATTTGAGTCGGTGGAGCCCACCGTCCTGTCCTTCCAGGTGAACTGACCTGTTCCAGAGGGACTCTAGGAGCGGCAATGGATGGACTCGTCTCTATTTCTTTTTTTTTTATTGTGATAAGATATACACGCATGAGATGAAATTTACTATTTTTCCCACTTTTAAGTGTACAGTTCATGACATGAAGTACGTTCACATTGTTATGCAGTCATCGCCACTGTCCCTCTCGAGAGCTTTTCCATCTTCCCGAACTAAACCTCTGCCCCCGCTGAGCGGTTACTCCCCAGTCCCTGGTCTCCCTGGATCCAACAGCCGTTATTCTACGTACTCTTCCTTTTAAGGTGCTGCACTTATGAACCCACAGTAACGTTAGAGATCTGTATTTCTTTGCTCTTGACTGATACTGGCTTTAGGTGTTTGCTTCTGTTTCTAGCTCTGCAGCCCATGGTGCCCTGTGCATTGTGCTTGGTTGGTGGTAGAAGCAGAGCCGTTTAGGTCCTGGTGCTTACCTCCTTCGGTGTTCTGGACAGAGCGCCGGCCTCGGAGCGTTGCATGAGAGCATTACAGTGGCAGGCTGTAAATGATACGTGCCACCTAAGTCTCTGTGAGTCGGACTCAGCCATTTCTGTTGTTTTATTTTTAATAATGGGTTTTTTATTATTACAGAAGTAGTATGTGTTCATTGTAGAAAATCAAATGTAGATAAGCCATAAAAACAAAATTAAAATCTTGCTACCTAAATATAAGCACTATTTATGTGCTTCTCTCTCTCCATATATATGTTTGTTTTTTAGATTTTATTTATTTATTTTGAAAGAGAAGGAAAGGGAGGGAGAAAGTAAGGGACAGAAACATCAGTGTGTGGTTGCCTCTTGCACACCCCTCACTGGGGACCTGGCCCGCAACCCAGCATGTGCCCTGACTGGGAATCGAACTGCAACCCTTTGGTTTGCAGTCTGGCGCTCAATCCACCGAGCTATACCAGTCAGGGCTATGTGTCTATATTATGTGTGCATACAAACTATAGTTTTTGTAGGTTAAACGTGGTTGAGTATTGGTGGTTTCATATAGTTTCACACATTACACACACAACACACTTACTTTGTAACTCCAACTTGAATTTTAGACATGTAAAGATGTCTTCCCTCCAGACATTGCAGATCATTTTCATAGCAGTGCCATTTTTTTCAGAACCTTGCTCATGTAGAAGTGTTTATTCTATGTATCACTGAACAATCAAGTTATTTCTGGTATATCGCCCCAGGAGAGTCCAAAGTCTGGGCTAGTGATGAACTTTGCTAGTCTTGAAACTGAATTCTTCTCTGAGGGGGAAAGGGTAGTTTTAGAACTCGGGATGGGTGCCAGGGTAGGTAAGAACTAGAAGCAGCTGGAGGAATGGGGTGGGAGGGTGTGCAGGGGTTAGCGCCTCTCTAAGGTGTTCACTCTTCCTTATTTCAGCCCTGGGGTCATCAACTCAAACCCTTACAACTTGGTGTTGATTTTACTGAGGATGTCCACAGTTCATCAACAGAATCAGTTATGTGGGAGGAGGGTGGGGTAATGTTCTTGCAGTTTTTAGCCATGGCAACACCCTCAAGTTCCCTTCCTCACACAGAAACCGGCATTATTATAACCCCTGCCCTACCTAGTTGTAGGGTAATGTGAGGACTGAGTGGCGAAATTTGTGTGAAAGGAACTTGTGAACCGTAGGAGCCACGCATTGTTACACTGTCATTTCCTGTTCTATCACCTTAACATGCTCTAATTACTTTTCTTTCCGGACCTCTGGGGACTTTGACTTTTGAGATCATCTTTTTAGGTCATGACCACATGGTCTTTTCATTTTTAATTTCTCCATCTCTGACTCTGTATCCTGTTCTTTTTACCCTGTACCATTGTATCCCACCTCTCTCACCAGATTGGTTTATTCTTTTCTCCTCCGCCTTGTCACATTAATGTACCGTGGGGCACCTGACTCAGTTTGCCAGGTTTGGGACCTCTTTCCACCTCGGTAATCAATTATTTCACTCATTAAGTAAAGAAGCAGTTCTGAGTCTTAACAGCTTTAACGTTGTTAGGGATACAGCTGACCCAGGAACAGCACAGGGTTAGTGGGGCTGACCCCTGCACAGTCGAGAATCCATGTACAACTTTCGATTCCCCCAGAACTTAACTACAGTTCCTTGCTGTCTTTGGGGAAATGGTTCCATGACCCCCCATGGGTAGCAAACTCAGTGGGTGCTCAAGTGTCTTACATTAAACAGCACAGAGCAACGCACACCGCCGGTCCTCCGCATCTGCACACCGCCAGCTGCGGACTGGAAATACTGCTTTTGATTCACAGTTGGTTGCATCTGTGGATGCGAAACCCGGGGATGTAGAGGGCTGAATATTTTTAAACATCTGTGTGTAAGGGGCCCCACCCAGTTTGAACCTATGTTGTTCAAGGGTCAACTATAGTCAAATAACAAGCAGCTTAAATATCATACCAAGTTATACTCATTGGACTGTTATAATAACATTTAAAATAGCTTAAGAAGAGTTTTTAATAATGTAGAAAATGCTTAAAATGCGAAGAGTGTGCAATATTGTGCATACAGTATTGTACGCTTACATACCACCGTATGTAGAACAGGGAACTGAAAAGACACTCAGAATTTAAACAAAAAAAGTAACTACAGACAAGTAGTTGCAGCACCTTTGTCTTCTTTCTCAGTCTGTGTGTTGACCACAGTGCTAGGCTCTGTAGAGACGACAAGTAAAGACGCAGGACTTTGTGTGTGAACACCTAAAGAAGGTACACACACGTGCTGTTGTTACTGTTAAGAGCGCACTCCTTTTGGCCAGAGAAACTGGAGTGCCCCGATAGCCTAGGAGTGCAGTAAAAGTTCATGGTCAGTTCATGCCTTGCACGAAAGCTAGGTCTAGATTCCTTGTACACATGTGGGGTAACTGAAAATTTCCCTTGTGCATTTGATGCAGTGCAGAATCCTGGGAGTCTAGGACTAGAAATCCAAAGACCTACAACCAAGATTGCTCTATCCAGCAAAATTTTCATTTAGAATGGAAGGACAGATAAAGTGCTTCTCAGATAAGATCAAATTCAAGTTCATCATCACCAAGCCCTTATTATATGAAATGCTAAAGGGACTTATCTAAGAAAAAGAAGTTAAAAAAACATGAACAGTGAAAGGACAGCAAACTCACAGTTATTAACGACCACACCTAAAACAAAAGCAAACTAAAAGGACAGCTAGATCAGGAGTGGAAACATAGAAAGGAAGATCTCAAGGAGGGTTAGCAGCAGGGGAGTGGGAGGAGGAGGGGGGGGAGAATGTACAGAAAATAAGTAGCATAGGCGGTAGGTAGAAAATAGATGGGGGACAAGAATAGTATGGGAAATATAGAATCTAAAGAACTTGAGACACATGGTCATAAACTAAAGGGAGGGTAATGGTGGGGATGGGGGGGTAGGGTGGAGGGGAATGAAGGGGGGAATAGAACAACTGTAATGGCATAATCAATTAAAAAAAAAAGAAAAACAAAGACTTCACTTAAATCCCACTGCATCACTGGTTTGATCCGTGGCCTTGAGCAAGTTAGTGCTTTGATCCATTGTTGCCTTTGGATAGTGGGTAGTGCCTTTCACGCCCACCTCCAAATCTTGTTGTTGGAGTCCATTGAGATGTGCTGAGTGTCAGTGCATTAAAGTAGAATGGTTTGTTTCAATGCCATGTGTTTATAATTCTTGTAATAACAGGGTCAGAATTCCCAGTTTGTTCTGTGTACTTCCTGACAGAAGTAGTCTGCTTGGTGTCATGGTATTGAAGGCCTTTTTAGGTCCAGAAATGTTGTTAAGGGTGTGTGTCGAATGAGAGCCTGGGGGCCTAGATCCTGCAAAACGATGTTTGTTGGTCATTCGTTTTGTGGTCGTAAAGAGAAATGTTGGCCCCTGTAAACCCTGAGAAGGTGAAAACCTCTGGCACAGATATGTCATTTGACCCAGCAGTTCTGTTTCTGGGAGTTTATTGTGGGTATTCTCTTATGTATGCAGTGTGGTTACAAGGTGATTTCAGTATGACTTGTAATAGCAATTATTAGAAACAGCCTAAGTGTCCATCAAGAAGGGGCAGGTTAAATAAATTACGGTGCATCAGTATAATGAAATCCTCTAGCAGGGGCGTCCAGCCTGTGGCCCATGGGCCGCATGCAGCCAAAGGTGGCTATAAATGAGGCCCAACACAAAATCGTAAATTTACTTAAAATATGATCAGATTTTCTTTATGATTACGTGTCACAGTGTATTTACTGTGCGGCCCAAGACAACTCCTCCTCTTCTATCGTGGCCCAGAGATGCCAGAAGGTTGGACACTCCTTCAAGTTTATGGCTATAAAAAATGAGTGCCGAAGCACTGCTCTTTAAGAGAATGTTCCTAAGTAGGAAATGAAATTCTAATATAGTGCAGATAGAATATGCCACCTTTGGTGTAAAAATAGAGACGACACAAAGACCTTTGTTCTTGCCTGTATGTACCTAGGGAATTCGGAGAGGGTGTTCTGGAAACTAATTGTAGTGTTTGCTTGCGGGTAGGATGAAGGTCTGGGGGTAGGTGAGAAACTTTTAACTCTGTCTGTATGTTTATTTATTTTTTACTTTTTGAACCATGTAAATATGTTACTTATTTAAAAAATGAAATTTAAAAGGTTTTTTATTTTAAAGGAAAGAAACCCCACCTCTGCGACCCGAAGGTGAGTGGGGCTGCAGAGGACGTGTTGGAAAGCCCACGCCTTAGGACGAGCGTGTTCTGCCCACAGACGTGAACTGGGGTCATAGAACCATTTGTTTCTTACAGGTTTATGGTCGAGGTTCAAAAAGAGATGCTTTAAGCTCATCAGGAAGATGCCTATTATTGGTCGAAAGGTAAGTGGAATCTGTATAGACCTTCTGCTCTACCCCACCCCCATGGTTATTATATCTCGTTCTTTTTAGTTACTGAACCTAGTGTTCTCGAGTGGGAGGTGTGATTTTGCCCTCTACCTCCGAGGAACAGTTGACGGTGTTTGAAGACATTATTGGTCATCAGAGGGGAGGGAAGTGCTGTTGGCACGGTGAGTAGTGGCCAGGGTGCTGCTAAGTGCCCAGGACAGCCCCCCCACTGCAGAGAGTCATCTGGCTCACTGCGTCAGCAGCCCCAGGATTGCGAAACCCAACTCAACCTTTCCTCCCACACACGTGACCCGAGGAGAAATGAGATGTCTGTCAAGAATTTGGAATTAGAAAACTTGACAGAAGTGACATGATGCTATGGAGCAATATCTGGCTGGGCTGATTTTAGGTGTTTGCGTAAGCGGGGGTTGGGTGCTTATGTGGTTTAGATCAGAGTTGGCCAGCTTGTTCTGTAAAGGGCTAGAAATGAAACATTTCGGCTTTGCGGGCCATACCAGGTCTTTCACCAACTCCTCAGTCTGCCCAAGTGGAGGGAATGCAGCTATGGGATCATAAGTAAAGGAACAGCCTGGCTTCCTTCCAGGAAATCTTTCTTTACAAAAATAGGCATCAGCCAGGTTGTGATTTTCGGATCCCGGGTTTAGAGATTTAGATAACAGCTATTCTCCTGCTCTTTGTACCTTTCTCTGTTCCTTTCACTGTATTTTCTCTACCCTCATCCACCCTGAGGATAAGATAGTCACCTCTGTCCCCTTCTGACAGGCTCTTTATCGCAGATGTAGATAAACAGGGCAGGCCCCACTGCCAGCTTTAAGGCAGGCACAGGAGTTCTTGATGTCTTCATTTCCCTCTGTACCCTGCCCTTCACCTCAGCTTCCCTTCAGCCTTCCTCTTCCGGCTTTCAGTTTGCTTCTCTGGCCGTACCAAGAAAGACATTGGGTATCTTTATCCTTTGACTGAAGTCCACTGAGAGCCCTGTGCTAACTCCCAGACTATGTATTTTTGGGTCCATTTCCTGTGGGCAAGTAGAAGTAATAAATGGGGCGGGGATGGAGCATGGCAGTAGACAGGGTTTTATTTCACCTCAAGTTCATTTGAGCCTCTAAATTAAATCTACTTCAGTCGCTATGGAATAAAGGGTAGGGGAAGAGGGAAGATACATACTGGATGGACTGGCTCACAAAGGATAATAGTATTTCCTCTTATCAGTCCCTGTATTTTTTTGCCCTTATTCTTTATGCTTTTCTCTTTCAATTTAAGATTTTGAGACAATCCTAGGGTTTCAGAACCCACTCTTAAATTTATATATGTGTATATGTAAATTTATATATATAAACATATATATATTTTAAAGAGTTTATTTAATTTTATATAGGGAAGGGAGGGAGAAAGAGTGGAAGAGAAACATCAGTGTGTGGTTGCCTCTCATGCGCCCCCTGCTGGATACCTGACCCACAACCCAGGCATGTGCCCTGACTGGGAATTGAACTGCTACCCTTTGGTTTGCAGGCTGGCACTCAGTCCACTGAGCCACACCAGCCAGGGCTTAAATTTATAAACTAACAGAATTAGAAGGGACTTAGGAACTGTATAATCAATGACCTTTTTTTTTAGAAGCAGATTTTGAGGCTTAGAGACAAAGTTATTTGAATGAGCATGTGTGTGCCCATCTCTCATTCATTCTCTTACACTCATTCAGCACATGTTTATTGAGCCTGTGCTCAGTGTCAGGTATTATTCTGGGAGCAGTGGTGAGTAAGACATAGTCCTTTGTCCGTGGAACTTGCATTTTAGCAGGAAAGACAAAATAAATAAGTAAACAGATACATAAGAATTTCATTTTGAAATAAATACTGTGAAGAAATTAAAATGTAAAAGAGGATCTGTGGCAAGAATTAGGGATGGGAAGTACCTGCTGTGCTTTCTGAGATAACTCTCATTATCATTTTGTGTCTGTTTTATTAGAACAGTATAGTCTGCATGGAAGTTCAGTTTTCATAGCTTGTTACTATTGCATGCCCACCATAGCACAATTCTTTATTTAGAATTTAAAAATTAGCCCTGGCTGGCGTGGCTCAGTGGGTTGAGTGCTGGCCTGGGAACCAAAGGGTCACTGGTTTGATTCCCAGTCAGGGCACATGCCTGGGTTGTGGGCCAGGTCCCTAGTTGGGGGGGTGCGAGAGGCAACCACACATTGATGTTTCTTTTCCTCTCTTTCTCCCTGCCTCCCCCCCTCTCTAAAAATAAATAAAGTCTTTAAAATAATTATCTTCATGTTCATCACATGCCCCAGCACTCCAGCACTTTCCAGGAGTGCAGCCTCTGCGCCCTGCCAGTGCCTGTCTGTTAGACTGTTGTAGATACATTTTCAAGGAGTGGGAGGACCACATCTCAGAAGGTCCTCTTGTATTCTAATCACCCAGAGCTAGAGATGAGAAAACCTTAGTGTTTGGACCGAGAGTTGGGCATCTTGCTGGCGCCCCATCACTGACACACACAGGTTGTAGCCACTCATCCCTCACCTGCCACACAAGCATCTCGGATCACACACGGCGGCCCCTGCCATTCTGCCTCTTTACTCTGCTCCCCTCCCCGCCCCCAGCACTTTTCATTACCTTTGTTTTCTGTTTCTGCTGCTAAAATCAAGTTTCATGAAAACACGATTGTTCCCCCCATTCTGCACCACCTGTTTGTGTTGTTCAGTGTATTCCTGGTCCATAGTAGTAGTTCAACAAATATTTGTTACATAAATGAGTGAATGAACAAAAGAGCATGTCCCCAAAACTGTTGCTATGAGGATGGAAAAGAAATAACTGGAGTTATTTCTTTGTGATAAACTATGTAGCAGAAAGGACTTTTAGCTCCTCCTAGCACTTACGGGTCAAGCTGTTGACAAGCTGTGGACAGCCTGAGACAGAAGGCAGTCTTCCTGGCACTGCCCGGGATGGCCGAGCCCGACGGTGGGAGTGGTGTGGGGCTCCCGACCCTCCCGTGCTCTGTATCTGTCTGTGAAGGAGCTCATCACTCGCACAAGGACCAGAATCCCTTTCGCTGCTGCTTGGTAGCTGTTTATGGCTCTGTCTTTGTTCTTTAGCAGATACACTGTAGCTGCTGCCAGGGCAGGAACAAGGTCCAAATATTGCCCTCAAAGATGTGCTGACATTAGCAAATGCAAATCAAGTAAAGCAGCGGTGATGTTGGTGATGTTGACATGGCAGAGGAAGGGGGTGGGGTCGAGTGCATCTTGGACCTTTAGAGCGAACACTGACTTCTCAGGCTTCTAAGAAAGTGTCACACAGTCAGACTGTCACCGTATCTCCTTAAGAAGAAGCACCTTCCATTTTTTGTTGTGTTCATGTGGTGCCCAGCCTTGTTAACTTCGTTCGTCTTCCCTTTGGAGATTGAAGAGGAGCTGAACAAGATCAAGGATGATATCCGCAAGAGCATGTCGTTTCTGCATGTGGACAAAGAGTATGTGAAAGTTCTGCCCTCTCAAGGCCTGAGCTCGGCTGCAGTTCTGGAGAAGCTCAAGGAGTACAGCCGCCTGGGTATGATTCTCAGCACATGCGTGCTGCCTTCTTCGTTAACCTGGCGAGAGCTGTCAGTTGTGTTTGTCAAGGTTAAGAGCAGATCCTCCCTGGTACTTGTATGCTCAGGAGGGCCTAACCCCTTTCTCAAAACGTTGGCTTTTATATTTTTTAAATTCTATTTAGATTCATATTTCATCCATCAAACAAACCAATCTCAGAGACAATGGAACTTGTCTCTTGTAAACTGAATAAAACACTCATTTGTTTTTTAAAAAGAAAATATGCATAATAAAAATGAAATACATATCTATTATAGAAATTGTAAATGCAAAATCAATAAATGCAAAAAAAAGTGACTATAATTTCTTCATCAAAAGATGAATGCAGATTTTGTGTATACATGCATGTATATCAGAATGTTCGTAGTGTTTTTATTAATAACCACATTCACACACAAGTATACGTGCATGAGGAAGGATGGATGTACCAAGTACAAGAAGCTCAATGTTTAAGAGTACAGCCTGTGAGCTCAGCCTGGATTCACATCCTGGTCTGGCCACTTCAGGTGTTGCCTCAGGCGAGTTACTTAATTTCTCTGTGCTTCAATTTCTGTCTCTCTGCAACAGGAATAATAATACTTACTGGAAAGGCTGGTTATAGAGATTAAATGAGATTATGCATATAACTGTAGAATACCTGGCATATAGAAAGTGCTTGATAAATATTATTATGAACACGGATGCATGTTTATTACAGATTAAAGTCATATTATGAATACTTTCAAAAAGTAGGCTTCTTAGTTTGGCATAATTAATATTAACTTCAGTATGAGACTATTAACTGAACTACAAATGCTATTCCGATTCCACAGGTTTTTTTCACTAATGTCCTTCTTTATGCTCTAGGACCCAACCCAGGATACCACATTGTATTTCAAAAAATACCTTTTAAAATGTCCAGTTGAAATGTGTTGAGCTTTAGATGTTGGCTGCTGTGAAATTGGGTACCGTCCGGGATGTATGGGTGATACAAGGGAGGGATTAGCACTCTGAGACCTGGACAGGAAAGGATTCTGGATGGTGAGGGCTGGTTGCTGCCACCGTACTTCCTTCCTTTCAATTTTTAAGTCACTACCCATTGCCATACTCAGTAGTAGCACCAGTGAAAGAACAGGAAATGAAACCATGTATCCTATTTTTGAAAGTCTGGTGACCTCTGGTCTGAAGGCATACCTGGTACAGAGCAGTGTCCTCTAAGGAAAGTGGGGAAGTCCAGCCAGCAACAGGCCAGAGCTGGGCAGACTGTGTGAGACTGAGGAATTAGTCTCAACATTCACCACTCAGTCCTCTGCTCTCTTGTTGGAGCTGAAGATCTTTGCTTTGTAGAGCCCGTGGCTGTCATCTGTAACGAGTTTGTTTCTGTCCTAGCTTTCTCACTGCCCTCTTCCAGTGGAGCACAGCCACGTTGTAGCAAGAGGCTGTGAGACACTCACACTGACAGATTTGCTGGTCTAATCTAGGGAGTATAATGTGGAACCTCAGACAGGAAGTGGAAGGTTGGACCTTATATCTTGGTCAGGAGCCTCTCCTGGGAGCTTTATCCCAGAGTTGACTGTTCCTGATCCCAAATGTTGCAGTTGATGTTGCTGGAATCAGGTGCCTAATGCTGTGTGGCTTTCCAGGCCCATTGGAAGGTGGGGCCCGATACTATGATATCTTACTGTGACCTGCCTCTTCTTGCATTCAGTTCCCTGACTCCAGCCCTGATGATTGTAGACTGAAATGTTACTTCTGTGTTGCTTTTCTCTGACAACTCTGCTCATAACAATTCCCTCATGTCCTGTGACTAGACAGAAGGAAGCAGTTGCTGAAAAAGGCCAAGCTGAGCCGTACAGAGAACAGAAAATGAATGTATAGCCAGAGGACAGTTTTTCTGCTGTTGGAAGGCAGCTGGCAGTTGGGGAACAGGACAGCATTATTATTGGACTATACTGTTCCCCCAGTGCTGTGGGCATCTTTTTCAGACTGTGGTTGATTCTAATTGATGATCTTTATTTTGCTGTGATAGCTCTATTGGAGTTTTATCTTTCTTGATAATATAAGGACATCTTTGGATTTCCACTCAAAACCTTGTTTTTTTTTGTACTCAGAGGGAATTCCTTGCATTTCTTCTTGTTAGAACCTACCTGTCTTCCCCAAAACTTTCTGCTTACTGACCCAGTGGTCTCACCCTCTCTGCAGATGTCTCGTGGCAGGAGGGGAGAGCCTCCGGGGCGGTGTACAGCGGGGAGGAGCAGCTCACCGACCTCCTGGTGAAGGTGTGTACCCAGTGCTCGGAGGGAGAGTGTGTGGTGTCTGCCGGTTTATATGACCTCTTTTTTGTCTCTTTGGTTTTGTAATTTAAAAATTACTTGAAGAAAAGTTTGTTAAAATAAAACTAAAGTTTAAGAAGTTTCTCTTCACCCAAACAGGTGAATATGTGTAATCTTGTCAAAGATATCTTCAGCTGTAGTAGGGTAAAATATTACGTACGTCTCCAGGCTTTACTGACACCCTGCATGGAAGGCAGTTACTGGGGCAGTCCCAGCGTTTGAGATTATTAACAATGAGACATACTTTGTTTTATGAAAAGAGACGAGGACAGAAACTTGGTTGTCGTTTCCTGCACTACCCGACTCTCGAATCAAATGACCTGAGAGTGAGCAGTGGTCTCACTTATAATTAAAATAATTCCCATTTTGTGTTGCCTTTATTGTCTAGCACCTTCATGTTTATCAGATTTGTCTTTGAAATCCCACTTTGTCATATAAAAGTGGTGTGACTGATGGCTTTAAGTTTAAGCCTTTGTGTTTGGTTATCGCACTCATGAAGCTGCTTATGCCTTGTTAAACATAGATTTCACAGCTGTGTCTTGGCATAATTCTCCAGTTTCTTTGTTTAGAAATCCTTCAGTAGTTTTGTATCATCTACACGATAAAATGCAAGCTGCTTATGAGACAGAAAACACAAGTCCTTTCAGAGCCAGCTCCCACCTGGTTCTTGCAACCATTCCTGTCACTCCTGCCTTGCCCTTTGACAGAGTGCACCTGGCTGTGATGTTTTCTTCCTTTCTCCCCTTTACCTGCCCTGTTCTGAAGGATGAATTCGTCTTTATCTCTCAAGGTTCCACTCAGCAGACACCACCAGACCATTCAGGACGTTCATTATTCCCTCTTCAAGGCCTCTTACCTTTGCGTGCACACATCTAGGATTGCACTTGGAACAATACTTGCTTTGTGCCAGATACTTAAGCACTTTGCATGAGTTATGTTCTTTGCTTATTGCTGAAACACTATTGGATCAGCACCTCAACTATCCTCTTTAGAATATGAGATATTGCACAGCTAGAAGTGACTGGCAAAGCTAAACCTTCACATTGAGTCTGCTCGGTGTTTCTAGTTTGCTCTTAACCACACTTACACTTCCTCTCGTACCACACTGTAAGGTCATTTATTCGCATGTCTGTCTCCTTCACTGTATTTTGAACATGTCTTACTATTTTTCTAATTTTTAATGTTGCGCCTAATACCTAGAAACTTTCGTTTAGTGTATGATTCTTTGTCCTATACAATATAATTGTCTTACTTCGTACCTGCTTGCATTTCTTTGTAGGCTTATGGAGACTTTGCATGGAGTAACCCACTGCATCCAGCTATCTTCCCAGGACTACGGAAGATAGAGGCAGAGATCGTGAGGATAGCTTGTTCTCTGTTCAATGGAGGCCCGGATTCCTGTGGATGTGTAAGTATTAGCCAGTGTTGTATAGTGATCTTTTTTTTTTAGCTTAAAATAGAATTTACTTAAAAATTTTTACTTTTTTTTTTATTATGCAACAAATGTGTGATTATTGTAAAAAGGTCCAGATTAGTAGCAATTCAAAAATACTGCTTATAGTTTAGTAACTCATAGAGTATGAACATTTTGGCATAAAGTCTTCTAGATATTTTTTCTCTTCAATTCTTTTACTTTGAAAAAGCTATGTAAAGTTGCTAGAATAAAGAACACTCTGCATTCATTAAATATATTTGCCCTATCTGCTCTCTGCTCCTTTCTTTTTCTTCCTTCATTTCTTTCATCCACCCACCCCACCCACTTTCCTGCCCATTTACTTGTATGATTTGGTTGAATCATCTTGTAATTTTTTTTTATATGCTTGCTCATTTTACTTGAGCTGGAAGTTTACTTTCTGATTTTGTTGTAAATTGAATCTCAGTTAGTTTAGGAATAAAGGAAAAGGAATCATGGTATTTAAAGGCACACGTGTTTCAACCATTCTTTCTAGTAGATGTTTGTTAGTTTTCTTAAACCGTGGTTAATAGACTTCTGTTTAGATTTATTACAAACTGATACTGTCTACTGTAGAAAAAAAATGAAACCTCAGCTTATGCAGGGTAGAGAGTTGGATTTAACCGTGGTAACCTAGAGGTGCTAACCCTATCAGATATGTAAAAGTAATCATTATAAAATCTGCAAATGTAATTATTGAAGGGCCTGCCAAAGATAATACCATTTCATAGTTAGTTTTTGTTTTTGTTTTTTTGCCAGTAAGCTGTATTGTTACACTATTATGTTGGCACCATGGCCAAACAACATGTTCAGATATTCAGTAGCTAGCAAAACTGGTATTCCTGGCATTCCCTTTCCAAAAGTAATTCCAAAACTGTTAAAAACTGAACCCGTCGAGATGTAGCAACAGGTTGGCTTACGGCATTTTGCTGAATGGGGTGACCTAGAAGAGAGATGACACCATGCTTGCGGTACGTAGGTGTTCTCCTGTGCCAGGGTGATGAACTGTTAAGAGACCAAAGGCTAAACACCTACAAAAGAGTTTGGCCTTACCCAGTAAAGATGAAGACTAGATACGTGTATTATGATCCTCCTTCACCTGCTCCTTCCCCTCTCACTCCCCCTCTGATAACCCCTCCCCCTCTCCCTTCCTCCCTTCTGCTCCTCCTCATTTTTATTTGATGATACATTCCGTGTTCATCTTGTACGTGTCTGCTCCAGACCCAGAGTCAGCCATTTGTACAGCCAGGAAAACCTTACCCATAAAGGTATAAGTAACTGTTGAAACAGCTGATATTCTCAGTAGCAACAGTGGTTGGGGCCGTTGCGGGTGGGTGACAAGACTGGCCATGAGCCAACAGTGGAGCTGTGTGACCAGTGCAAGGGTTTCATTAACTCCCTCTTCAGTTGTGTCTAATCTACACTCAGTCTGCTACTGGATTTTTAAATTTTGTTTACTGTATTTTTCATTCTTCAGAATTCTGTTTGGTCCTTAAAAAAAAAAAGTCTTGCCCTGGCTGGTGTGGCTTAGTAGATTGAGTTCCAGCCTATGAAGCAAGGGGTTGCTGGTTCGATTCCCAATCAGGGCACATGCCTGGGTTGTGGGCCAGGTCCCCAGTAGGGGGCGCATGAGAGGCAACTGCACATTGATGTATTTTTCTTTCTCCTTTCCCCTCTAAAAATAAATAAATAAAATCTTCAAAAACTAATAAATCTCTTTGGTGGTTCTTTGTTGGTCCTTAGCTTATAGTTTATTTAAATATATTGCACATAATTATTTTATAGTCTCTTCTGACAATTCCATTATTTGTGAGCCTTATCATTCCGTTTCTGCTGGTTTCATTCATATTGCCTTATATCCTTGCCTATGTCATTCTTGTAGTTGTAATTTTAAAAAAAAACTGTAAACCGCTCATTTTCCTGGGAATTTGGCTTTGAGACCTATATTGAAGTTAAGTTCTTCCAAAAAAGGTTTGTAATTCTGCCAGTTTCCAGGGAGTTGCTGGGAAGTGCTACTACATTGGGCCAATTTTAGTCCGATTCTCAGCTTACAGTTTTGCACTACAGAAGTGGCGCAAATTCAGACCACAAACCCACATAAAAGCAGTCTTGTTATACCTTCTTTAGAGATCATTATTGTTCTTTACCTGAAAAACGGTCAAGAAAAGCAGTTTTTCTTCATGTCCTCTTTTGTACCAGTGGGATTTATTTCTTGTATCCCTCTGACTGTGGACATAATTCTATTTTCTTTTCAGCCATCTCTCATTGGCCTCCTTACTGTGGGCAGGCCCTAAATTTATCTCCTGTTCACGGGGCAGACTGAGCATTTAAGGTCCCTAGGGGTTGGTGGCAACCCTCAGTGTTCACACCAGCTTTGTAACTCACTTATCTAGTAGGATTTTTTGATTTTGCTTTCTTTGCAGTTTCAGTGTATTTTTTTATGTTAGCTCAGTGGTGGATGTTTAATGTTTTATCAGGCTTTTTAGTTGTTTCAAGTAGGAGGGATGCCCAGGGTATATAATCTAAACTGCTGGAAGTAGAAGTTCCATAATTGCTCCCCCCCATGTGAGAGACCTTTGTATACTTGAAAGCCTCTCTACTTCTGAATCTTCTCTTCCCTGTGTGTTTCCTAAGTTACTCAGCTGTTCATTAGAGAGTATGACTTCCAACCAGAATGCCAACCATCCCCATCATTCTTCTCTGGACTCTTTTTGGTTATCCGACTGGCCAGATGGACTCGGCTCTCCAGGGGTGGAGTGGCATCTGTCTTTTACTCTCTGCCGTCCTTACCTGGGTTCACTGAACTCACCTTAAATCTGCCCTCTGAGTCAGTCTTTGTGTTCTCAGCAGTGTTTATTCTGTTTCTTGCTATTTCTATGTATTTATTAGTTCTATATTGATGCTGTTTAGAACTTCGGTGTTGTAAGGTCTGCAGTCTCATTTTGTTGTTTGTGTTTGGCCTTTCTGCTCTTGGTTTCTTGAATTCATGTTCTTGTGCTATTTTGTCCTGTACTGGGAAGCAGTTTTGAGGAACTTCCTTCTGCTGTTTAGGTGGTTACCTTCAGAGTTGGGCTTCTATTTTGCATGCTGTCTTTTTCTTGTATATGCTTACATCATTTACCATAGCATCTTCTTTCGTCTTGGCTCTCTCTAGACATTGTTTGTTCTGATGCGTGGTGAGTGATCTCTTGTCTGAGAGTATTTGGCTGAGGTAGGGCTCAGTGAAAGCTCTGTTTCACCTGTACTAGAATATAGGTAGGTCTCACCTTCTGGGAGTTTGCTACAAGTTGCCTACCAGCGCTCATTCTGCCTAGCTGGAAGAGAGGCGCACCCTTCGGGCTTTGATTATGTCTTTACTCCTTTCTGTGTTCCCGAAGCATTCCCTATAAAGGACCAGTCCGGACTTCTCTCCCCTTTTGCTTGTCTCTCCCTAGCTGCCACATCCCTTACTTACTGACTGAAGATAAGAAGAGAAGATAGAGAAACCCTTCCATTTCCCTCTTCAAAGATTTGGGGAGTGTTAATGAGAATTCTCAGGATTTTGCTAACTCACCTTAATTTCCAGGGCTTGGGAGAGGGATGAGCAACTGTGTTTTGCGCTTTGCTATAGATTGGAAACTTCTTTTTTTCATTGCCAGTATATGAAGTCTATTGCATCAGATTTTCTGTCTCCTTATTTGATTATTGCATGTTTTCACTACTTTTTTCCTTTATTCTTACAGGTATTGGGAGAGAGAAAACTCTCTGAAGTAGTTTTAGTCTTCCATCTTAATCCAGAAGTCTGCCACTAGGGTATTTGTGTTTTGTTTTTGCTTAGATGCAATTAAGCCTTGTCTCTCCCATTATGATCTTTCGTTAGTGTGTCAGGGATCAGGAGAAGGATAGGGTCTAAGATCCACAGTCCTTTCTAACACTTAGACCTTTATAAAAATAGCTGCTCTCTGGGATCATTTTAGTTTCTCCTCAGTCTTTGGCTCTATCTCTGTGTATTTCTTTTTCTCTCCCAATGAGCTAGCTGCTTTTGGTAAAGACAGTTTGAGTTCAGAGGTAGGAAACAGGAAGACAAAGCCTAATGCTTGGGCTTTTTTTAGGCTGTTCTCATTTAAAGTGTTAACTCTTCTTGTTCTTTGATCTTCAGCCTTCAACTTTTTTTTTCCTTTTATTAACTTTATTTGCCTTAGAATGAGAGGTGATTTCATATACCAAAGAAAACTAGGTTGCCCAGAAGAACAGTCTTGGCTTTTGCAAGTGCCATTAGGACCAAACATCACCTAAAAGAAAAATTTCCAGCCCTGGCTGGTGCGGCTCAATAGATTGAGCACCAGCCTGCCAACTGAGAAGTTGTCGGTTTGATTCCCTCTCAGGGTACATATCTGGGCTGCAGGCCAGGTCCTTGGTTGGGGGCGTCCGAGAGGCAACCAACTGATGTTTCTCTCAGACACTGATGTTTCTCTCTGTCTCTTTCTCCCTCCCCTCCCTCTAAAAGATAAATAAAATCTTTTTAAAAAGAGAGAAAAAAATTTTCCAAATAGGTCATGTTCTACTCTTATTTTCTGACATACATAGCATATATTAGAGTAAGAGTTTTTATAAATGTTAATAAGTTGAGCCCCTGCCTGGTGTGGCTCAGTGGATTAAGTGTTGGCCTGCAAACCAAAGGTTGCTAGTTCTATTCCTGGTCAGGGCACATGCCTGGGTTGTGGGCCAGGTCCCCAATCAGGGGTGTATAAGAGGCAGCTAATCAATGTATCTCTTGCACTCTGATGTTTCTGTCCCTCTCTTTCTCGCCCCCCTTCCCCACTCTCTAAAAATAGATAAATAAAAATCTCTTTAAAAAGTTGACTGACATAACAAGTAGTAGTTGAGGCTTTTGTCTTCTTACTTCATAACCAAATTTTTGTTTTTCTTTGTGTGCAGGGGGTAGGGGAATGGGAGACCAGCAGCATATTTAAACACAGAATTTGGGGGATCAGAAATCAGAATTAGAAGTAGAAATGAGGTATCCCTGCTTTTATAGTGAAAAATATACTGGTTAACATTGGTTAACAAATAATGATGTTTATTACTGGACTAAAAGTAGGACATATGAAGTGAATAACCAGGGTTTGGAAATATTTTTGCTTGTGTCATTACTTGACCTTGGTAAGACACGGACTTCCTGAAGACTGACTTTGCTGGTCCTTTCCCGACTCATGTGACATTCTGAGGTTTTATGCCAGACCACAGGGCGTGCTGCTGATTTGTAGAGCTGACTTCAACTGTAAGCAATTTTTGCATTGAAGTGCAGAGACCTACAAACAAGTGTCCTATGCCCGTGTTCAATGCATTACTTTGCGAATGATGGTCACATGCTTCATGTAGACTTCCTGAATCAAAAAATGACTTAACTGCCTTCCATTAACTCCTGACTACTGGGATTTTGTATCTAATGCTGTTTTTGCCCTATATAGGACAAAAGTATATAGATATTATTTTAAGAAGTTTCAGTCATCACTCTCTCTTATTCCACCTCTAATTAAGCTACACTAAATATGAAAACGTAGAAAGGTTTACTTGTCAACAGATGCTAATGGGTGACATTGGGCAAATCACTTCAATCTCTCAGCAGCTCAGTTTTCTCACCTGTATTATGAAAAGGCTGTTTCAGGTTATATGAATCTACAGAAATAGTAACTCTAAGAAAATACCCACCTAGCTCAGTGTTATAACCTTTCTTCTCTGTTTGCTTTAAAATTATTATTCTTTGGTGTTATCAGAAGGTAGCCAGGTGGTACAACATGCCCGTCGGTTGTGCTTTGCTGGATCGGGCATTACGGAAGGTTAACTGAGGGTGTGCTCGCTGTCTGCCCGTAGGCTTGGTGCTGGGGATAGGGTCACGAACAGAGTGCACCACCCTCGTGAGTCTGTAGCCCACCGAGGACAGTAGGATGGGTGAAATGAACCCTTCTGTTTCAGCTTTGGTAAAGAAATTTACCTGTATCAGAGTTGCCAGCCTAGTTTCAGGAAACATTTTATTTCATTTAAAAATACAAGGATTTTTGTTTTGATTTCAGGTAAGATAAACTCTTAAGTAGAACCTTCTGCTTTTCTCTTTCAAACTTGTCAAAAACTACAAGTTCACTTTGGAATGCTGAAATATCTTTTCTTAGTCTTCTAATATATGACATAGGTTACTAGAATCATAACTTTAAAATTTCACATTCTTTAGTCGACATTGAAAAGTTACTTATTTTTCAAGATTTTATTTCTTTCTTTCTTTTTAGAGAGAGGGGAGGGGAGGGAGAAAGAGAAAGAGAGAAACATTAATGTGTGGTTGCCTCTCACATGTCCCCCACTGGGGACCTGGCCTGTGTCCTAGGCATGTGCCCTGATTGGGAATCGAACCAGCAACCCCTTGGTTTGCAGCTACATGAGCCAGGGCTGGACATCGAAAATTTAAATCAAAGTCAGTAATCCCGATGCTTTTGAAGGGTACAAAATGCCCTATCCTATCTGCCAGTGGAGGAATTAATGTGGAGATGGATTGTGTGCAGATCTGGACAGATGTGCATTTGTCCAGGCAGTGCAGGGCTTCTGCTCACTCTGATTTAGTTGTTTTTACTCTGAGCTTGGGCTCAGCCAACCAAGCCAGGTTTTCCTCCTGGGAGACAGGACAGCGTCTGCTCCACGGCGTATGAGGACTTACCTCTTTCTGTATCTGACACCATCAAGGTCAGGGCGAGAAGTCCCTGCTGGTGCTGTCCCTAACTTCTCCCCCTCAGACAGTATCTCTTCTTTTTCACAGGTGACGTCTGGCGGGACAGAAAGCATACTGATGGCCTGCAAAGCGTATCGGGACCTGGCCGCAGAGAATGGGATCAAAAGTCCAGAAATGTACGCGTGCGTGGTTGTGTCGTCCCGCTGTAGACTTGTGTGTCTGAAACACCGCGATGGCCGATGTGCCGCTGCTCTTTTCCTCTGGGCGTTCTGGTCCTCTCTCCTCTCGTCCTGTCTCCATGGACCTTATCCCTTCGGCCGCCAGAATCCTGAGTGGATCAGCCACCTAATTTCCACAATCATCCCCCCTCTCCTGCACCACCCCCAGTTTACACGTGACATACTTCTATATACTGCAAGCAAGCATGACATCCTTTTTCTAAAAGTGACAGAGTGACAGGACGGCTTCTTGAATTCTGTGTTATTTGTTGTGAATTACCTGGATCCTGAGGAAAGCTCTCTGTGTGTTTTAGTTTAGTGAAAGCCAGTTAAATATACAGGCTGCCTTGGTGTGGCTCTCCCCAAGGAAAATTCAACCTGAGGGCAGTTTTCTGGATGAAGAAGTTTGACACCTTTTTTTTTTTAATTTTTATTTTTTTTTATTGATTATGCTGTTAACAGTTGTTCTATTCCCCCCTTCATTCCCCTCCACCCTACCCCCCCATCCCCACCATTACCCTCCCTTTAGTTTATGACCATGTGTCTCAAGTCCTTTAGATTCTATATTTCCCATGCTATTCTTGCCCCCCATCTATTTTCTATCTACTGTCTATGCTACTTATTTTCTGTACCTTCTCCCCCCTTCTCCTCCTCCCACTCCCCTGTTGCTAACCCTCCTTGAGATCTTCATTTCTATGTTTCCACTCCTGATCTAGCTGTCCTTTTAGTTTGCTTTTGTTTTAGGTGTGGTTGTTAATAACTGTGAGTTTGTTGTCCTTTCACTGTTCATGTTTCTTTAACTTCTTTTTCTTAGATAAGTCCCTTTAACATTTCATATAATAAGGGCTTGGTGATGATGAACTCCTTGAATTTGATCTTATCTGAGAAGCACCTTATCTGTCCTTCCATTCTAAATGAAAGTTTTGCTGGATAGAGCAATCTTGGTTGTAGGTCTTTGGTTTTCATGACTTGGAATACCTCTTTCCAGCCCCTTCTTGCCTGTAAGGTCTCTTTTGAGAAATCTGCTGACAGTCTGATGGGGAGTCCTTTGTAGGTGACTGTCCCCTTAGCTCTTGCTGCTTCTAGGATTCTCTCCTTCATTTTAATTTTGGCTAATGTAATTATGATGTGCCTTGGTGTGTTCCTTCTTGGGTCCAACTTCTTTGGGACACTCTGAGCTTCCTGGATTTCTTGGAAGTCTATTTCCTTTGCCAGATTGGGGAAATTCTCCTTTATTATTTGTTCAAATAAGTTTTCCACTGGTGGCTGTGCCTTTCCCCCTTCTGGTACCCCTATAATTCAGATGTTGGAGCGTTTAAAGATGTCCTGGAGGTTCCTAAGACTCTCCTCATTTCTTTGAATTCTTGCTTCTTGACTCTTTTCTGTTTGGCCATTATTTGCTTTCTTCTGGTCCACTCCATTGATTTGAGTCCCAGTTTCCTTTTCATTGCTATTGGTGTCCTGTGCAATTCCATTCATTTCAATTAGTTTCGCCTTCATATATTTGTCTAATTTATCGGTATAATCAACCAGTTCTGTGAGGATCCTGATGACCAGTGTTTTAAACTGTGCGTCTGAGAGTTTTGCTATTTCTTCATCGCTTAGATCTATGGGCTCTGGGGCTTTGAGATCTTGCGACATTTTTGGTCTGTTCTGGCCCTTTAAGTGTGAGAAGCGGTGCCTTGGACTCCCAGGTCGCTGGGTTGTGACGCTGTATGTGGGGGCGTGGTCAGAGCGGGGAAATGGTGGCGCCCTCCACTGCCCCTTGCCGCGGGGACCCGCCAGGCCCCAGTCCAACCACCCACTCCCTCGCCTGTCCGCCTGCGCACAAATGCACGACCACAGTCAACACGCAGCACCGCTCCCCCGCTGTCTCCCCCGCGGTCGCTCGAATGGTGGCTCTCTCAGTTGCTCACTAGGTCCAACCCTGCGCCTGGATTCCGCGCACCTGAGTCCGTCTGACCGAGTCCTCCTGTGCAACCCCACTTCACCAGCCGCTGGTTTCGCCCCTTACCCGTCAGGCTGAAGAATTTGTTGTTAACGGACTTCCGAAAAGTTCAATTTTCCGTGTTCTGGCTGTGTTTTCTGTTGCTGATATTTAGTTGTCTCTAAACTTGGTTGTGTGAGAAGGCACGGCACATCCACCTATGCCTCCATCTTGGCGGAAGTCTCAGTTTGACACCTTTTTGAGATTTACCCATCTTGCTGCCCTATGGACATAATTTTGATACTTGGTTGCATTTTTTTCTCTGCACCCCTTCCTTGTGCTGTGTGTTGGGGTTAATGTATTTCCCCAAGTGTCAGTGACACAGGGTTTTGCCACATTATGATCTCATGCTGCAATTTGTACTTAGCCTAAGAGAATAAATTGGGCTGCCATCTTTCTTCAGACGTCAGTCTTCGCTGCTTGGTAATTACTCGGTGGTAGAGATTTTTCTCCCTTAAAGGGAGTGGGGTAATCGTGGGAGTGGAGCGGTCACTTACCCGTGACTCGGTGTCCTTTTGCAGTGCTGTCTGCAACCCCGCTCCCAGGCGTGTAGTGCAGACGGGGTTTCAGGTGGGTCACGGTCTCTCAGAGGTGGAGGGACCTCCGAGCTGACGCTTGCCTGCTGCCTGAGCGTCCCTGCCAGGCGGTCCCACGTTTGCTGCTGGAATGTGCATTGTGTCAGGAAGCTTGCTCCTTCAGACGTACCTGTCTTTGGGTCGGCAGCCACTCAGAGGCTCCACTCGACATTGATCCAACCCAAATTCCCTGTCCTTTTACCTGTCAGCCCTGATTTATGGCTTTGGATCCTTTGATGTGAGAATACTTCCGAGTTCTTCTGTTGCCACAATGATCTCCTAAGGACTAGAGAGAAGATTCTCTAGAATATCACTTGACTTCTTTTTGTGCTTAAAAAGTAAAAAATATAAACACTCTAAAAATTCTGAGGAAAAATAATGAGGAGTTTACTCCTGGAGGTTCAGATTAGCTGCTGACCGTGCAGTCTGGAACCCCCTCTGGGCTGAATTCATCACTCCCTCTTCCCTGTCGTTTAGTGTGGCCCCCCAGAGTGCCCATGCTGCGTTTGACAAAGCCGCCCATTATTTTGGGATGAAGATCATACGGGTTCCACTGAACAAAATGATGGAGGTGGACATTCGGGTGAGTGGTTCTGAGGGGCCACTGTGTGCCTTGGGCCGTGAGAAACAGGAAGTGCAAGATGGGCTGGTTTTTCCCAGCGTCACACGCCGACAGGCTCTGGAGGCCTTTGAAGGCAGCAGCCAGAGTTGCAGCGCTACCCCTGGCGCGGTGACTGATTGCAGCTTGAGTCTCTCATATTCTTCGAGTCCAATGGGAAGATGAACCTAGCCCCTCACTTCAAAGACTGGGGTTTTGTTTCAGCACCTCACTTTCTCTTCTCTGTAAAGTGGGCCTGGACTAACTTGCCCCAAGACTCACACTGTGGTTTTGATTGGTCTGAATTAGTACCATTGCCATTACAATAGTAGTGATTTCTTTCATAAGTAAACTATTCCAGTTTGTTAGCGCTAGCATTACCCCTCACCTTTATTGAGGCAGTTGTGTCTATTTAAAGTGTACAACTTAATGTTTTATGTAAATATACATCGTGAAGTAAAACAGTTAAGCTATTAACATATACAACGCCTCTTATACTTAACATTTTTTTATGTTTGGCATACTTAAGACTATACTCTAGGTCTCTAACCAAATTTCAGGTATATATTGCTGTATTAGCAAAACTTGTGAAGTAGTCACATGGCAATATTTTGTATCTCCAGACCTTACCTTGCGTACCTGAAGCTTGGTACCCCTTGACAAGACCCCCCCACTCCCTCACCCCCGGCCCCTGGAAACCACAGTTCTACTCTCCCCCTACAGTTCAGCTTTTTAAGTTCCACGATAAGTGAGATCATGCCATTGTCTTTCTGTCCTGGCTTATTTAAGTTAGCACAGTGTCCTCCAGGTTTATCCATGTGGTCACCAATGGCAGGATTTCTTTCTTTATGAGGCTGAATAATATCCCTGTTGCGGTTAATTTTATGCCTTGCATTTGTGTAGAACTTTCCAGTTCTCAGAGCGCTGTGGGAATTGCATTGAGCCTCCCACAGGACAGCCCAGGGAAGTCGCGGAGGCTGTTAGTAGCATCGCAGGCGACAGATGAGGAAACAGGCTGGCGGAGGGTTGACACCAGGTTTCACTGCTGGTTGGCGGCTCTCTCGCTTCTTAGCCCAGCATTCTTCTCTCCCTCACAGCGATTCTGCTGTTTTTATATCGTGCTCCGAGACTCTGCCCCCAGGGGACTGCTGGGCCTTGTTTGCATTCTGCTGCCCTGGTGGTTGGTGGTCTTCACTGGGGTTGGAGAGGTGAAGGAGGGGGCACCAGTGGAACGGAAACTCTGAGTCAGGAACCTAAATTGACCTTGGCAGTGGAATAGGAGAGCAACTGCAACGTGGGTGCTCATTTTCCTTTCCACGTTCGACCCCCAGGCCATGAGGAGAGCCATCTCCAGGAACACTGCCATGCTCGTCTGCTCCACCCCGCAGTTCCCTCACGGTGTAATAGACCCCGTCCCGGAAGTGGCCAAGGTATGTGCGGAAAATGGGCTCTGGTGCGGCGAAACTGAGGTTTTAAAACGGAATCTCATGATAACGGCACTTGGCGAACAGAGAGAAGCGATCTTGGGTTTAGATTTCAGTGCAGTAGTGGGGAACAGCTCTCATCAGCTCTGTGGTAAGCCCTGCTCTCTTTGGGGCCTCCGAAGGTTACTAGCTTCTGCTCCGGGGGAGGGACAACAGAAGGAAGAAGGCTTCGTGTAAACTGGGTATTCGGAAGTGGGACTCCCGCGTCAGTTCAGGTCAGGAAGTAAGCTGCCTGTGGCGCACGCCTGCCGGAGGGTGGTATTTGGTGCCCGCGTGGGCTCCATAGCACTGCCTCTCCCTCCCCGCCGGCAGTTAAAGCAGGACCTTTGTCCCCCTCCAGAGGCAGTCTGCATCAGAGTGGTACTCATTTCCTGCTGGATTTTGCAGTGAGTTTGAGGCCCTGCATATTTACATATAAAATAAATTCCACACTTCAGATGCATTTTTTTGAAGGCTAAATACATTCAAAGGGTGAGCTTTTTTATTAGGAATGTCAAAAATGGCCCTGTGGTGACAACCCACCTTTCCATACATGTGTTGAAAAGTTCTTGTTATAGAGCTATAAATGAAGTTTTCTTACCGGCCTTGTTTTTTGGAACTAGCTGGCTGTCAAATACAAAATACCTCTCCACGTAGACGCGTGTCTGGGGGGCTTCCTCATCATCTTTATGGAGAAAGCAGGATACCCACTGGAGCAGCCGTTTGATTTCCGGGTGAAAGGTGTCACCAGCATTTCAGCCGATACCCATAAGGTGAGCGGGGGAAGGGACCGATTGTTAATCAGAGTAGACAGTTGCTTATTTTGGCTGTTGTCAACAAAATGGTTACAGCATTAGCCTCCCCCCAAAATGTAAAATTAAATCTGGCTCTCTGCTTTCACCAGGACAGCTGTTCAGGTCTCCGGGTGTGGTGGTAGAGGTGACAAGCAAGAGAGGAGAGGAGCCTGTTATCTTTGTGTCCTAGGGCTGAATTTCTGTAACTGGGGCATTCAGTGCCATGGCCCTACTGAAGAGTTCCCTGAAGCCTCGAGATTATTTGGGTGGAGGGAGGGTGGAGGCGAGGCTGATTCTGGAATTCCAGAGAGGAGGTGTGTAAGCGCTGCAGCTCCCAGGCCACCGGGGCTCCTGCGGCCGAGGGACAGGAGCCTGCTGCTGGAAGAGTCCTTTGGAAAAAGGGGAGAATTTAAGGCGCTCAGGAATGTGTGGCTTCTCGTGTTAGAAATGCCCACGCCCGCCACCTCCCGTGGACCGAGACAAAATCTCGATTAGCTTATTTTAGAGCTGGATTAAGTAGCTCTCAGACCGAGTGCCAGTTCTTAAAAAGGAAGTGTGCTGCTATGCACGGAGGGTGGGAGGGGAGTCAGGTCGTGAGTTTAGTTGCTTGAGTGACTGGACTCTATCTTTTCCTGGCTTCCAGTGGAAATTTGTTGTCGCTTTCATCCTGACATACTGCCCTGGAATAATGTTTTAAATAAGGAAAGCCACATGTTGGCGAGAGAGGGGAAGCAAGCTGCTAGCAGGACAGGACACTCTTCCTTCTGGGCCTCAGATTTCTCATCCCTGAGAAAGAGAATTCCACCTCCATCCCTCCAGTCCCCATTCGCTCCTGACATTCTGAGTTGGAGTTTTTAGTGTGAGTGGGAAACACCACAGAGAATGCGAGAGAAATTTGCATGATCTCCGTGTTCCAGGACAAGGCTGCCGTTCAGAACTGTATTCACGTGTCCGCTTCTTCCCCCTCAGTATGGCTACGCCCCCAAAGGCTCTTCAGTCGTGTTATACAGCGAGAAGAAGTACAGGAGCTATCAGTTCTTCATTGATCCAGATTGGCAGGGTGGCATCTACGCTTCCCCAACCATGGCAGGCTCACGGCCTGGTGGTATTAGTGCAGCCTGCTGGGCCACCTTGATGTACTTCGGTGAGAGCGGCTATGTTGAAGCTACCAAACAGATCATCAAAACTACTCGCTTCCTCAAGTCAGAGTATGTGTGGAAGATTGGGATTCTGCCTTGTCTCTTGCTTTGTCTGTTTGTGGGCTCAAGGCATCCGCCTGGCCAAGTACCTGGAGCCCCAGCCCATTTGCTGTCTCCTGAGAGACCAGGGGTTGGGGCAGCAGCCCAGGACTGTGGTGCCAGTCTGGGAGGATGAGCTCCCGTGCTCTGCTGTGATTCAGAGTGTCAGATCAGGCTTTATCTATGGGCCATCTTGTTTCCAAGGATGTCTTAACGACTGGCACCTTTGACCACGTGCCTTTGACCACGTGCCAAGGGACAGTGTAAGGTTAAGGCAAGACAGTTGTTCTGAAATTTGAGCATGCATCCTGATCACCCGGAGGGCTTCTTAAAATGCAGATTGCTTGGCCCTGCTCCCAGAATTCTGATTCAGTAGGTCTGGAGTGGGATCTGAGGACTTGCATCTCTGGGAAGCTCCCAGTGGATACTGGCGCAGCTGGTGTAGGGGTCACACTGGGAGACTGGCTGGAGTAGGAGGAAGAACCGGAGCAGAAATGGGGAGGGAGGAGTGATGAACTTGGGGGCGAAGCGAAGGCTGCAACTGGGCTGCATATGTTGTCTGGCACGTCTGTTCCCATCTAACCTGCCTGGCTCGCTGCCTGTCACCGGGGTTGGGGGCTTTTTCAGAATCTTAAGGGGGAGTGAAAGCAGCCAGCGGGCATGTTTTATTTGAAAAAGGCCTGGTGTGCCCGTCTGTGGAGAACTACTGTACTAGTTCTTGCTCTAAGAATTACATATGTGACTTTCTAGAATTGGGGGATGGAGAGATTGCATTTCCAGAATTTTTAAAAAGTGTATCTTGAATGCCTCAGGTACCCCTGGGGGTGATAATATGATTTGGGAGTTGGGCAGATGGGCTAGGAGCCAGTGGGATCTAGATGGAGGTCAGGCCTTCAGATGTTTGTAATGATAGGAGTCATGCTCTCCATCCAGACACCTCATTTCACAAGACGAGACCCTGAAGTCCAGGAGGTTAGACTGTATTATAAAGTGACGTTGGAGAGAGATGATCACCAGAGGACTAGATGTGGCTGAACTCTCTTTTTGTTTCCCTTCTTGTTTAAGACTGGAAAATATCAAAGGCATCTTTGTTTACGGGAATCCTCAACTGTCAGTCATTGCTCTGGGCTCCCGTGATTTTGACATCTACCGACTGTTCAACCTGATGACTGCTAAGGGGTGGAGCTTGAACCAGCTGCAGTTCCCGTCCAGGTAAACTCGACAGAGCCTCTTTCCCTTCCTTCGCTCCATGACTTTTGAAGAGCTTGGGTAGCAAGATGACCGGAAGGACGGAGACTGGCTGCTGGAGCCCAGCCCTGTGGTGGCAACTGTGGCATCGGGATTGCTGTCTTGCTGGCTGCAGTTACGCAGTAACCAAAACAGTACTGTCATCTCTAAACTCAGCCGCCTCTTGGGCTCGGGGGTCAGTCATAAGGTCCCCTGCCCCCCACTCTCTCCCTGGGCTCTATACCCGTGGATCTGTCTTGTACACAGTCGTCATATCGCTTCTATAAACTCACCCGTTACCTCAGTTATATTTAGCTCCAAATCTGCACAGGGCCTCTGATCATTCAGGCCTGCCACTGTCTTCAGTATGCCTTCCCAGTCTGACCCTCCGCGACGCCTTTAAACCAGCGCTCCGCCTCATCAGAACAGGTCTCTTCAGTGTCCTCTGCATCCTGTCCCGGCTCAGCGTCCTAGCCAGTCACGTTCGGTTACTGCTTTTTCCTCATTGCAGTCCCTCTGTGCGCCAGTCTCCCCTCACTGGAGTTCAGGCTGCTGCTTTGCCTTGCCGTCCTTCAAGACCCCAGCCCAGGCCCAGGCCCTGTCCCCATCCCTGTCCCTGAGAGGGCTTATCGTCTCAGAGAGAGGCATCCCGTCGGTGGTCACATGGCTGACGGATTGACGGTGGACAGTTTCTGAGGGGAGTGGTGGGACCGAACCGCCCGCGGTATTCGTTCCGTCGGGGTGCTGCCTGGCTGTGCTGAGAGGCCCTCATGCCACCCGTGCTGGATGGCCCCCGACTCCCAGGGCTGCGAGCAGTGCGGGCGACTGCGCTTGTTGCACATAACGCAGAGGGGAGACCAGTAGATCCCTGCACTCGGGGCCGCTGTATTTCAGAGCATTCTTTCATCTTTCCAGGGCTCACCACTCTTCGTTTCTGTCTTCTGTAGCATTCACTTCTGCATCACGTTAGTGCACACTCAGAAGCGCGTGGCCATCCAGTTCCTGAAGGACATCCGCGAGTCTGTCACCCAGATCATGAAGAACCCGAAAGCAAAGACCACAGGAATGGTAGGGGCCTGGGGTCTTCTCCGTGGAAGTGGAGGCTTTCGGGGGGGAGGTGGAAAGAATCTGATGGCCTCTGCTCCGTGGTTGCCGCTGCCCCTTCCTACCAACCTGTTTCCTACTGAATTGCAGCAGACGATCTCTGCCTCATCCATCCCAGGGTTTTTAGTCTCAGAGGAGATGTACTGTATGTAAAGCACCTTGTAAATGTGAGAATGCCATGTAAAAAGCTGGTGGTGGTAGCGTCCATTTGAAAAGAAAAATTGGACACAGGAAAGGCAGTTTACCAATTTTCTCTCGAATTTTGTACTGAAAATTCCATGGGATAGGTCCTTTGGACAGAAAGGCAGACTGGCAAGGACCTGGGGAAATGTGACCATGCCCACTACCTTCTGCGAGACTGGAGATGGGGCCGGGGGTGCAGATGGGCTGGGGGGGCACGCTGAAGGCAAGGTCAGTGCAGAGAAAGACCCCAGCCAGTCCTGGGCCCTTCGTCACTAATAGCAGTTCTTTGACTGGATTTGTAGGGTGCGATCTATGGCATGGCCCAGACCGCCGTTGACAGGAACCAGGTGGCAGAACTGTCGTCGGTCTTCTTGGACAGCCTCTTCAGCACAGACACTGTACCTCAGGGCAGGCAGGTGAATGGTTCTCCAAAGCCCCGCTGAGTGGAGAGGGGCTCCGGCCTCCAGAGGGCTCCTGGGTGCGCAGCAGGCCACTGGCAGGTTCAGCATCTGGTCTCGCGCACAGAGCACAGCGAGACACACACGGGACAGCCTGGTGCTCGGGACCGCGTTCCTCCTCCGCTCGGCCTTCTATGGTTTTGAATGTGAAGACCTTGCAGGGTTCCGTTTCATAATTATTTTGCCATTGTTTTAAATGTTACACTAGGAATTGTTTTAACCATTTACTCTTCTAACCTCTCTAGCTTTCCGCCTCACTTAATCACGTGTGGCAGCTCGGACCTGACCTGATTTGATTTCCTAGGGGGAGGAGGTACAGTGTGTGAGATAGAAAAGGGTTCCTCCGGGATCTCAGGCAGATGGGCTGGTCAGCTCGGAGCGCTCACGGACAGAGGTCTCCCGGGTGGCTAGGTGCGCTCTAGGCGGGAGGCGCCTGCAGCCCTGTGCTCTGAGGAGGTTAGTCTTCTGTCCGAGAGTCACGTGTACTGTGGCCCGTTCTGTGTCTCCAGGACGCAGACCGACCGGTCGGTTTCGTCGCTCACGTTCTGCGGGATCGGCACGGCCAGTCTGCCGAGGCAGGGGCAGAGTGGTACGTTACCCTCCTCGGGGGGCAGTCCCCTTTGAGTTGTGGTTTCCACCGTCTTTGGGGACTCCTATTTGAAATGATGAACCTGCTGGTTTGCTCTTGAACTAGGAAGGGAGTGTAATTCCCAGAGAAGCCAGGACTTTCTGGCCTAGTGCTGCCTCTCTGCACTGGCAGTTTTCAGAGCACAGCCGAGCCCTCGCCTGGGCGACAAGTGACCGGAAACCAGACCCTTTTCTATACTTTCCTGAATGTCAGGGTGGGATGAGCACCCGCATTCAGAAACACGTCCCCCAAGTTGGTGGTGCCCCCCCTGCCCCGCTTTAAGCCATCATGTATGAGAACATGTTTGCCAGAAGGGACAGCTCAAAGCACTTCACAAGTTGCCTTGATTTCCCCTGCCTGGGTGGTGCAAGGAGGGCATGAGCGGGCCCCCAAGGCAAGGAAAAATTCCTGTCTCCATGAGTGTGCTCCCCAGCCTCTCTCCCCTGTATTCGGCTCCAGAAGGTACTATGGCAATTTAGCCTGAGGTACTGAGCACTCGGCCCTGGCGAGGCTGAGGTAAACATTTTGGAATAGGAAAACACGGTGGCAAGTGTCAGTTGGAGCCTAGGACCTGGGATTTCTTAAGACTAGTTGCTCAGGGTGGTGCAGGGACAGGACCGAACCCTGCGCCCACTTCTGCCTTCGGCCCCGCGTGGGGCCTGGATCTGGGCCGAGCCACTGTCCCACCCTCAGGACCACGTACTGTATGTGTGCCTTTTTCCTCGGCAGGGGGCAGTGGTGGGCTGTTCCTCACCCAGGCTCGGGGGCGGGGCGGGGGGGGGCAGCCTTGGAGACTTTCCTTTGGGTAGAGGATTCCTGGGGAGGAGTCAGGAGACACTCCTCGATTCCGTTACCCTTCTCAGGGACTCCAGAATGTTCCACTTCCTCAGGCTGCTGTCCCCTCACTTCTTCCCTGGGTGTGTTGGCCGGGAGCGCCTAGATGACGGTTTCCCCAAGCTCCTTACAATGTGTGTCTAAATCGTTCTTTAGCACTGTACTTCCTGCACAAAACTGTGACTGGCCACGCCATTGCAGGCTGCTATGTGTGTTTCCCCGTTCCCTCCATTGTGGGTTCCGAGGGTGGTTGGTGTACGTGTGTGTGTCCGAGGGAGAGGCTGAGGTCCTTCGGACACGGAAGTGATGTTCCCCCCAGTTACTGAACTGGCGGCACCTCCTGAGGGCTGTGCACGAATTGTCTCTTGGTGTCCAGTGCATTCCTTAACGCCGGAGGAAGTCCGGGACCCAGAACCAGCAGGCGCCGCTGTGGTTTGTCAGCTGCTAAAATGGAGAAGCGTGTGCCCTGTAGAGTGTCTGTTGCTCCCACGTCTCCCCAGGCCCTGCCCCTGTGCTGTGACAACTTTGCTGGGGAGGAGGGAGGGAGTAGAGCTGTTTTTCAAAGGGACCTACTGTCGCCACTTTATGTTTACGAGCCTTAGTTTGACTAAACATTTGTGGGCTTTCCATTCTCTGTGTCTGTGTGTAGTAATGCCCAGGTGGGCAGAGTGTCTTCGTTCTGCATTAGAAGTCAGTAGTGAGGAGTGTACTGCCACGTCACTTTTAATATGACCAGTTTTATACTTGGAAAATGGTACTTGCCTCCTTGAACCTTTTCTGTCTTTAACCTTTTCCTTTCCATCTCAATGCTCCCTTTGTACTTGCAGCAATAATCTCTTAAAAAGCGATTAAATAATTAAACGTCCCAGATCCTCATCGTTGTGGATGGTTGCATTCATTTGTTCGTTTGGGCACGCGTGGTCCCAGATGGGATGCTGGCAGCTCTGGAACCTCTGCTGGTGAGAGGTCGCCCCCTCGTGGTGACACGTCGTGTGGCCACTGACACTAGGGCCGACAGCCAGGAGTGGGTAGCAGCACTCCTGCTGGGTGGGTTCCCGGCGTTCCGTGGCTCCACCTGGAGTGGCGGCCACACCTGTGTGAAGGCCGTCTGGAACGCAGGTCTTCCGTTCCCTTACAGACTGAAAGGTAGGCAGGCCTTGAGACTTTGGCTAAGCTTCTAATTAGAAACTTAAAAGCCGCCAGGAGTAGAAATCTGCTCAGCTGATGCAGTAGAGCAAGGGAGGGAATACGGCCCCAGATGCCTCTCTGCTCGTCAGTCTCGGCACAGTTACCTCTGTCCACCGTGCTCCCTCAAGCGTCTCCGCCTCAAGAACCCGATTCTGGTCTTTGAGGCGCAACTCCAACAAAGCTCCAGATTCACCCTTGTTAATCACTTCCTGTTCTCTTAGCTCATTTCTTATCCTTGCATCCAGTGTTAATTCATTCTGCCTACTGACAGTTAACCATTTTCCTGCTTACTTCTTCTAGATGATGATGAACTCCTTGAAGGCAGGGTGCTTTAAATGTCTGTTGACTCCAATTTGGATTGACCTGTGGGGAAGAAGATTCTAGAGCCTGAGGCCAAGTGAAACAAGTTTTATTTGAGACATAAAAAGCACATGTGTTTTTATCACACAGGAGGGGGTTGGCATTAGGGTTCTGGTGTCTAAGATAAGATTTTGTCTATTTTAGACACAGCTTCTATCAGAGCTTCTTGGAAAATGAATTAGAAAGGGAGCAAGATATAGCTGGGAAAGAAATCATTATGTTGTTGGGAAGCTGTAAAGAGTGGGAAGACCTTGTTCAAATTAGTGTGCACTTCATAGAGCCCGGGGATGAAGAGCAGGGCATGGGGAGACCTGGTCTCAGTCCTGGTGTTGGCAGTGATGCTGCCTTTCTTTCCCCTGTGAGGACCCACCCCCGGTGGAGGCAGCAGGGCGGACTGGGCGATTTTAGCTATAGCAACATTTTGGGGCTCCCCTGTACCCCTCTCTGGATTTCCAATTCAGTCACCGCTTTCCCTGAAGAGCTCAAGAGGAAAGGCAGGGTCTAGGTCATGGACACCGCTACTTGCTCGATGAAGCTGGCCAGGTTGATGTCCCGTTCTGACAGGCCCGCACACTCATGGGTGCTCAGGGTGATGTGGACCTGGAACGAACCAGAGAGTGGGGACCAGCTGGCTCCACTGCCCCCGCCTGCGAGCAGCAGTGTCGCCAGCTGGTGGGCTCAGCCACCCCGAGGGCCCCAGATACGGGTGCGCTTCCTACTGCACTTCACACACACTGCAACTTTACCGACTGAAAGTGTGACCCTCCACCAGCAAGACTACAACTCCCTAAGATGATACAGCGTTTTTTGGCAATAATGTATTTTTAATTAAGGTACGTACATTGGGTGTTTTTAGACATTATGCTGTTGCACATTTAATGGGCTACGCAACATAGTGTAACTTTTACAAGTGTGCTTGATTGTGGCAGCCTCAAGTGGGACCCACAGTCTCCCCGGGGTGTCCCTGTGGCGCTGCAGCTGCTCCTGGGTGGGGGCTGCCTTACTCACTCGACACGTGTTCATAGCAACAGTGCAGAGCTGTCTTCTCACACCTCCACACACAGCGGGAACGCCAGCCATCCGTTAAAAATGAAATGCCCAAATATTAAGAGCTACCTAAAACCAAGGATGAGACCACAAACCAACTCCAGCTCCTAAAGGCGGTCCGTTTGCAGACCGTGCCTTCCAGCCTCCATGTTTTCAGAAAGAGCCTGGGAGAGCTCTTGGCACGCAGCAGGCGTTCCATGACTGTTTCGCTTCATTCAGCAGAAACTCTGATCTATTGGCCATGCATGGCTATTCTTAGTTCACTTTTATTACTTCACTCTTCCATACGGACGGGAAGATTCAAGCCATGTAGCGCTGCTAACAATGAATATGCCTGATCCCCGAGGCCTTTCCTTCCTTGGGTTTTGCCTTCTGGATGTCTCCTCAGTATCTACTGGAACCACAAGTTACCTCGCAGTGTTTTAATTTGCATTTCCTTAATTTGTCATGAGACGATATTTTCTGGGGGTGTTGATGTTGATTCTAGGAGGGAGATGAATGGAGCAGGAGGAATGGACAGAGAGCCTGAGGGTGAGGAGGGCCCAAGAAGGGGCCTTCGGAGGGAGGTGGGGTTCTCAGAACTTGGGCGGGGTCTGGACCACAGGCACACGGCACTCACCTTGTTGTACACGTTAAACCACTCGGGGTGGTGGTCCAGTTTCTCAGCCTGCAGGGCTACTCTCGTCATGAAGCCAAAAGCCTGTTTAGTGAAGGGAGACCCAGGTCAGTGTTTGGAGACTGCTGGGCACCTTTTTACGGCCAGTGTGAGGCCTCGGTGCGGCAGGTGGAGAAGCTTCCTATGAGGAGAACCCTCTAGCTTTCACCATTCCTGAGGCATCTGGTTGGGGCTGGAGTTCACGCTGGTCTCTCTGAGCAGTGGGAGGAGAGCCTTGTACTTAGATGGTACAAGTACATCTTAGATGCCACCAAGGTGGCAACACCAGAGAGGTGTTTGGTCTTGGCCAGTCTCTAAGACGTCCTCAGATGGCCATCTGTTTCCTCCTCTACCTCTCTCCTCTAAGGATCGATTCTCAAAATTCCAGGTGTGGAGAGCCCAAGCTCCACGCCTGTCCTCTCCAGGCCCCAAGGTGACACTTCCCAAGTAAGCTGCGCAGGACTGTAAGGGAGAACAAGTGAGACCCCGCTGGCCCTTCTCAGAAAACTGCCCGCCCTGGTGCCGTACCCTGTTGAAGTCTTTGAAGTGGAACTGCTTGAAGATGGCATCTCGGCCTTCCAGCTCGTTCCAGCCCACAGCCCGCAGGTTTGGCAGCAGCTGGTCCCTCTCCTCGGCGCTCAGCCTGTGCGCTTTGCCAGCCTAGGAGGGGAGACAGACAGAGGCCCCAGGCCTGTGGGGGAGCCGAGCCAGCCTGCGATGGCTGCTCTGGATACAGGTGACACAGTCACAGGGCAGCTGGTCTGAAGCAATGGACTGGGACCTGTTGACGGTGGCACCCTGCCCTGGGGGTGGGGCCCTGGCTCCTTCACTGATAGGTTCTTCGATTTTACATTCCATTCAAAAAGACAGGAAATGACGAGGTGTCAAGCAAATCACCTTGAACTAAGAAATGACCCCCCCAAAAAACAATTAGGTCTCTTACAATACTGAGGGAGTAAAAGCAAAACCTAGCTCAGATGTGCGTGTATTTCGACACCACCTTTCAGAACAGCACCCGAGTGTCGAACCCTCCTCTCTTCTAACTACGGACTTAGGCTGCCTGCCTCCACACTTCTGCTGCTACTCACTGTCCAGTGTATCAGAGGAAACGCCTAGAAACACGGAGTGACCACCGCATCTGCCCTAGTCGGAGAGAGCATGGCATCGTTCTCAGAGGGGTCTGTGCCTCAACGTCCTGGAGGTGGCGAGGGACCCAGCACTGGAAACACGTTTCGGGTGCCTCGGCCACACTGCAGCTGACAAGCGCCGGCACCACACCCCAGCGGGTCCTCCGTGATGCTCCCATGCGGCCCTGGTTCCCAGCTGCCAGGCCAAGGGGTCTCGGCTTGGCCTTCTGACAACCTGCTTTGCTGTTAGCCTGGGAAGCCCGAGCCACAGAGCTTGGTTAAGAGTCCAAGTAACTTGGCTAAAGGCAGTTGGCAAACCTAGTGCCTCATCCGTGTATTTTCCCATTGTGCAAAGTGCCCTCCGGGCAGCCCAAATGGGCACAGTCTGTTCTTGGGAACATCCAGATCTAAGAGCTTAAGGGGTCCCACAATTAAGTTTTTGAAACAGAACTACCCAAAGACAGAAGCTGTAAAGTGCTAAATTAAAGATGAACCAAAAAGGTCTGGGCAGGTTAACAGCCCGGAAGCAGCCCACAGCCCGGAAGCCACAGACTGAGTTGGCAGCGCTGGTCCAAGCCCCAGTTCTGCCCTTCCCCAGCCAGGTGGTCCTGTGGCACTCATCTCCCTGGGCTTGAGGGTTAAAAAGGGACAACTTCCACTTCATACCAGCAAGAGGAGCCAATGGGACATGATGGTAAACTCCATGGTTGTGAACATAGTGTCATCTGCATTTTTAAAAAGATTTTATTTATCTTTAGAGGGGAAGGGAAGGAGACAGGGAGAGAAATATGAATGTATGGTTGCCTCTCGTGCATCCCCTGCTGGGAACTGGCCTGCAACCCAGGCATGTGCCCTGACTAGGAATCAAACTGAAACTGTCCGGTTCGCAGGCCCGCACTCAATCCACTGAGCTACACCAGCCAGGCCTGTCTTTGCATTTTTAAACTTCCTGGGGCGTGCAGGCTTAGGATGTGCTGTGCAGGCTGGAGGAGACTGGGAAAGCGCTCTGGCAAGTCCATCTTTTTCTCCCTCCTGAGAACATGGGCTCTCTCTGGACCACCTGACTTGGTCCATCCCCTCCAGCCCAACCCCATCCCTCCTCCAGAGCTGGCCTTTTCTCAGTGGCTGATAAGCCGGTTCCAGTATCCAGGCAACCAGAGACCAGATGTCACCCCAGGCATCAGAGCTCACTGTTTAGTTCCTTGGCTCTGAAATGAGTGGATGGGTACTACTGAGCTCCTGGGAGGTCCCCCTTTCTGTTAGAGTCTTCTGGAATCCCCCAGGTTTCGTAGCCCAAAGCTGAACTGGCAAGCCCTCCTAAGATCTGGGAACACTGAGGCAGAAGGGACGGTGTTTACTTAGTAAATCCCAAGTCAGGCCCGGCTGGCCTCTGCCTCTGGGGGAGTGTGCCCAGGGGTTACTGATTACCCAACTTTCTGCATCTTGGGGGTCTCAGTGCACCTCACAGTAGCCACCATACTCACCACCTCCCCTCCCTC